CACGGTATTCACACTGCAAAAGCGTACCAGCCAACTTTCGAATTTGAAGACAGTTTTTGACGATGACGAAGTAGGAGCTCTGCCGATTGCTTCGGGGAACATTAATAGTCCCTACAGAGTAATACTGTGGGCGTAGAATTGTTACTCTACCTCTGCCCAGTTTGACGTCAGTGCAAACATTATGAACTCCGTTACTTTTTGAAAAAGTTAGTGAGAACGACTTTGGTCGTCTCCTGACGAAATATAGAAAAATATTTCCACATCGAAATTCATTCCTTGCGTTCCCTGGATATGTCACTCCAGAAATGCGATGTGCCTTAGACGACTATTCCCTTAAAATTGTCCGGAATTTGGCAAAGTCCGCATGAACTCGGGACATTAGGAACTTACTGGAGTTCATATTTTGACCATTTTAAACTGCTCTAGTCACCTACTGTTGCAGTATTCTTAGGTTTTTAGTGTTGCACCAGGTAGTATTAGTGCTTTCGAGTATCTAGATGGTATAAAAACCTTTTCAAACCATATCACATAGTTGTGAAGGGCCGCGGAATCTAAACGGCCCGTATTCTGAGAATCACCCACACTGACATTACTATGAAAATCAGTCCCTAATTCTAACTAATTCAAACAATTCCAATTTAATTCAAGACAATTCAGAAGTTATTCGCAAAAACGATGAAATCAACATGCCAATTCACAGTAATTCAGTAAAATAAAATCGCAATAATTTAAACTAACTCAGTAGAAATACTGTCAATTCAGTCCAATTTTAAAGCTATTCAAGCCAATTCAAATTCACAACATTTGTTCCCCTAATTCAGATATTCAACTTTTGGTGATGTCGCAGAGAGCGCCGGCAAACCTACAGTGCAACCTAGCGGCGCTAAAAATATTTCCAGCAGTGTATATGAATCGCAGTAATAAATGTAAGTTTACAGTCATTGAAACAGTGAAGGTAGATTGCGTAGCAGCAGGGTCACAGCATCGTATTCGAGACCCTGCCGTTTTTTTAAAACTTGCATGCCTTCCGTCTCTCTATATATTGTGGGCGTTCACACGCAAGCGCTGGAATAACAGATTTCCAGAGCAATGTCACTGCCCATTCACTCGACAACCACGCATGGTTTCCTTTGAGGTCATGTTTATTTTAGTTCAGATAGGGGACGAACGCGTTCGCGACACTTTGTGAATGAGAAAAGGCACACTCATTGCATCCCTTTGCTGGATTGCCCATCTTGCTTCATTCGCTGCGCTCGGCAAAGGAATACATTCGTTTGCTGTGAGTTGGTAGACTTTTAAGAAGCCTAATCACAATTGATCCATATACAGCGGCAAATTGTAACAAATCATGCAAATTCTTCCCGAAAAACCTACAACAATTTTTTTTCCAATATAAAGGGAAATTTTGATCTACCAATGTAATTAAATTTTCGTCTTGTGAAAATATATCTGTGAATCTTGTGAAGTATATCTGTATATATTATAGATCATTTGCAGGGACCTTTCATCATATACATCTCAGCTGTCAATGACTGCAAGGACGTGAATAGTCCTATCGTGACTCATAGAACACGTTTTAGTCATTTCAATCCCAGACGGCCATTCGACAAGCAGACATTGTCAGGGAATATAACCGTTCCTGTGCCGATTGATGACACATGGTGGGTAAGTTGGTTCATTGTAATGAACATTTTACTAATTTAGGTTGAGCAATTTATCATTACCACATCTTGTATGTTGCTCACAACAGATTCATAGACAAGCAAAGAAACATAAATATTCTGCCTTGGAATGAAGTGAACATCTGTCATTTACCTACATTTTGTTCCATTGCGGTTACACCAGTGCCATCGACTCACCCGAACTGACATGTTGCAGGGAAGCATTACGCTTGACATCCGATCAAATAACCAATGGAAAAGTAACGCATTTATCTTCAACATAACTCAACATTTCTGTAGTGCAATGCGGAAAAATGTTCCAGGCTACTTCCACGCAGCGTTTGGGCTCGACCCGAACAGCAAGGCTCCGTGCCTCATCCCCAATGTATGTCTATACCCTAAGGTTCTGTTTTTTCAGGACACTTTGTTTTGCACCCACACTATTAAATTCCTGCAAATCAATGGTTTGCACCAGACACTTTGCTGATGACGAAGGACTCGGGACTACGCAGCGTTTTTTTGGAAATTACGAAGGGATACTTTGCAGCGTGTACAGCATAACTTTAGAATTGCAAATGCGTAGATAAAAAGCATCACACAAGCACCCAAGTCCTTTTCAATTTGCAAAGCTTCAGACGTCATTAGTTTTATGTATCGACCCAGATTGACAATAACGTTACCCCATAGATTACTTTAAGGTCCCCACTTGAAATGGCGTGCAACAGAAGAAATATAGAAGGATTTAAAAAAAATCTTTCATTTTTGACAATCTTTGTATGGCCCCTTTACGTTACTCAGTTGATTAAACCCGCGGGTGTCAAAAGAGCTCGATGTACTGAGCTGTCGTCGAAACAGATTCGCAGACATGCGCTTTATCAGCTTAAGGATTGACATCGCGTATTGCATTATATATGGAAGTGTGCCTAATAGTTTAACATGTGAATGTCTTTTCGATCACTGAAATTGCTGACCAAAACGACGGGTAGAAAACGTCCGACAGAATCGTGTTTCATGGTTTTATTGAAAGTTTGGTTAAAATCTCGCGAAACCACGCTTCTCTGCGTCCCATGGAACTGAAACTGCAACGATGGTAAATATTTCTAAGTGTTCCGGTGTAAACATTTAAAAATGTAAAGTGTAAAGGCATTCAAATCTGTGAACCATGGCCATAGTACAACATACAATGAAACCTGCACATGGTAATGAGTTCAGATGTTAAGATCCTTAAACTGATAGAGCTAAGCAACTGAATGGGAGTGGGAATACTAAGCGGGTGCATCATTTTTTGTTGCAGGGAACCCACACATTTAAAGATGAACCTGTATCTTGGGACCCGCCTAACGTCCCCATAATGCCGTATGGATTCTACCGGTCACACAACGTTGGGGGAGTAGGAAGACATATGCACGCCTGCTATTTGACAGAATGTCACATTATTCCGAAGCCTACATAGCACGTTTTATCTTTACATCACGGGTTTGGCCCCCCGTAAGGTGAAAAGGAGGGCCTTTTGCAATGTGGCCCACACCACGTCATACAACTCAGACCACAGACAAAAGGTCAATGTCACTTCAACATATTCGAATGTATCCAAAAAATAAAAATAAAAAAATACGGGTGTTTATTCTGAACTTTACGGAATTCATAGTCAAAATGTGACAACAAGCACGGTTTATATAGCCATAGTATGTGAGAAGGTGAGGAAGAAGTAAACAGGAAGCGATCCGGTGACTAACTGCTTTTAATATAGCCTTCTATGTTTGAGGTAACTTCGGTGCCTTGGCTGGTTCGGCCTCCGCCTCCCCCCTATCCCACTTGGGTACCACATCGGCTCCTCTCGGCAGCACTCAGCTGCACCTTCGAGCCCCACTTGTCCCTAAGGCGTGGCAACATTGGACCTTTCGCCAAAAGGAGTTTTCAACTTAATTTCGCTCCGCCTGCAACTCCGTTCGGCAAGGGACGGGAGGGTTGTCAACATTAGTACAAAAAAGTAACGCGATAATGATAACGTTAACTGGGAAGTCGGTTACGCCCTAACGTTACTTTTTTTTGGAAAAAGTAACGCGATAACGCTAATTAACGGCAATAATGCCGTTAACGATAATTATTTTAATTTTTTTTTCTTTTAAAATGCTGTGGAGAGTACAGCGACTGTGATCGTCGCTTGTCTTTCCAGTCCGAGACCAAGAGTGCGGTAGGGTAGCGTAAGAATAGTGTTCGGGCACGATTTGTTTTGTACTCTTAACTGTGTTTTTTCATTGAATATCTTTGTCGTTTGACGGGCGTTAGGAAATCGATAAAACTTTAACGCCGTTACAGCGTTAACAACATAATTAATGGAGCGCGATAACCTTAACGCCGTTAACCCGTTAATTAAAGTTACCAACCATTCGCGGGCTTGCTTGGCCTCCCGGGGGCGGGCCTGCGGTCCTTGAGAATTTGCCCCTTTGACATAAGAAAGGCATGTCACGGTGAAGCACCGTGACTACAACCTACCCTTCTTCTGCTTGGACAACTTTTTTTTTCTTGGGTGGTGGAGGTGGGAGTTTCTTTCCCATTTTGCGATTTAAACCCTTTTAGCTTATTTTCGTCCAAAAAAGACCCTCCAGCTCCCAAACGGTTAGAGAGAGAGAAAAATGGTCGAATTTTTATAGTTATAGAGTTACCGAGATCATTTTATAAAATTTTTTTACGGTTTTGTGATCCGATACCCCCATTCACACCCTTAGGGGTGGTTGCCACGAGGGGGCCACCACTCGCGTAATCCTGTGTACAGATGAGGGTGTAATCCCTAATCATTTTCTTATTCCGTGTAATCATTGACCAAATTTTAAAATATTATCACTAAATTTTACCTTTTTGTCCAAATTTGATGGTTTTAGAGCATGAAATTCAAGAAAATTCACGTGTAATCACTCAAAATTCACGTGTAATCCCTGTAATTACGTAATCCTGTGTACATCCTCAATCAATGTGGTGGCCCCCTCGGGTTGCCAGGATTTGCCGTAGGCGTTTCGTTCTCTAGGAGTGAACCTGAAGATACCCTGAAAATTTCAAGGCTCTAGCACATCTTCCAGTGGAGCAGACAAACAGACACACAGACAGGACAGACAGACACGATGTCGTTGCATAAGCCCGCTGGAAAGCCTTTTTAGAGCGGAGGGGTGAGCTAAAAACTGGATTTAAGAGCATTTATACAGATAGTAGTGAGTAATGGCCAGCAAAAGAACGCATCCTCTTAATTCTTCCTTGATGGTGGGCTTAGGTTTTACTCGTGCAAAGCATTTTTAAAGTACAGCATATCGGTAAAGCTCAAATGCAGAAGAATGCATGGAACAAGAAAACGGAAGTCACTTTTTCACCACATTGCTCAGCATTTCATCTCAACCGGAATGCTTTATTGAAAAGTATACGTTTCACTGTCCTATCTTCACTCCCCTCGCATCGTGATCGTGTACCTTTGAACTCGTCGCACGACTAAGGATGTCGAGTGATGTAGCCAATTAAAAAACTGCTCTGTATACAAGCTTTTATCAGGGCGTATGGTAGTACTTTTCGTGGGAGGTGGGTGATCTATTTGGAAAGACGATGCGTCATCAGCCTTCAGTACGACAAAAAGCTACTTGAGACTTTTAATTACATTGACTAGACTGTCATTAGCAGCCCATTAGATTGTAAGTTACCTGACCAGGTTTTAATTTGAAATTATCACCTTTTTGTAATCATCATGATAAAGTGTAGCTGCTAGTTCCATCTCGTGAGCAGTGGTGGTCAGAAGACCTGCGTCTTTCAAAATACCGGGATAGGGTGGAGAATCCGCTGCTCACTGCACACCGCACTCAACAGGAGCGCCGGCCAGAGCTCGACGAGCGATCGCAGAGTGCACTTAAAACAGGAGTGTTGTTGATCAGATAGCCATATGTTTCCGATAGTCCTCATCCGAGGCGAGGAGCCACCAACAGCCGTCTTATAAGAGCGGGGAACCTTCGGGTCAGTAGCCGCACTAGCATCATCATGGTTCGCCTCGTGTTTGTCGTGGCGCTAAGCGTCGTCGTCCTCTCCGGTTGCGCGTTCGCTGGCTGTAAGATTTATCCGTGTTAACTGGTTCCTGTGCGCGCCGTGTGCGCATCTTGTGCACATCACGTGCGCGCCGTGCGGGTAGCCTTTCTGTGTGCAATGAATTGGGGGCAAATTTGCCACCCCAGGACCGCGAAGGCTGTGTACGCTCCAGGGTGACACTCTGGGCACTGACGCTGGTGCTTGTGACGTAATGTAATCTCGGCGACATCCTGCAGGTCGCGAGGTGTCCCCGGAACGGTGACACCCTGCAAGATCGAACGCTGAGGTCAGAAGTCCTGGACACACAAGGCCGGGACCAGGATCACTTTGGCCTCCAAAATTCCACTCAAGTTTAGTTCTCCTTGACGGGGGCCTCGTGGTACACTCTCGTATCCCGCGAACCGTAGACCGCATGGAGAAACGGACTTCGGTGCTGTCTTCAGCAGGCCCCGAACTCTAGGTGAGGATGTTGCGAGGTGTTCATCATGGGGACAAGGATCGGCGTCGGTGCCCAGAGTGTCAGCCGTTAGCGTATACGGAGAACTACTCACTGTGCGCTCAGAGGTTGTGCACGGCATGAGCGCATCGACCACACCGGCTTGCACACGCACAGCCGTCTTGGAGTGGTAAAATTGAGCACAATTTCATTGCGCACAGAAAGGCTGCGCACGCGCATGCCGCACAGGACACATTATATCACGGGTTGTTGACAAGCAGTGCCGCATGCGGTTTGCTTCCTTTGTAACATCTTCACTCATGTGTTTTTGTTTGTTGTCCCACACAGTCGAAGGTCATGTCCAGAACAAATTCATAGGTAAGTTTCGTGGTCTTCTGGTTGGTTCTGGTTTGCGGAACCGACCCAACTAAACACAAACTTCCTTCCTTCCTTCCGCAGTGACGTTCAATATTGTGCCCGACATTTTCGGCCTGTTTGCCTACTACACAATGCCCCGCACTGTAAAGGAAGCCAAACATGATGGCTTTGCCCACGCTGCCGAGCGCGGCGACAAAACCACAATTTGGTGCCGCAAGGGAGACCACCGCGTCTGCGTACTATTCGACGAGCAGGGCAGCGTGGCTGGGATCCAGCTCTCAGTCGAGGCCAAAGAGATCGACAATTCCGGTGCCCCGCTCGACATCGCCAGCATTCCCGAATGGCGCAAAGACACGCTCCTCGGCTTGGACGTGTATGCCAACACGGCCTTCTTTGTGTCGAAGGCGATCCTTGATGCCGGTGGCCGGGCCATCAGCTCGGACACACTGACCGCCCCCGAGGGTATCTACATTCTCCAGACAGACGCCGAAGGCGTTGAGACCGGCCGTCTTCACGTGAGCAACGACCAGAGCGACGCTGAGTCCGCCGGCTTCGTCGAGCAGAACTGCTTTTACGGCATGGGCAAGCACTACTTCCAGGACTTGACGAAGGAGACCGTGTGCCAGAAGCACCGCCCCTACTTCATCCTGTACGGGCCAAAGACCAAGAAGATGAACGGCTTCGGCTTTGCCGAGTTCGGGAAGCCTACCCAAGGGCGTGGTTGGTTTGAAGCTCCTCCTTCATCCGTAGCGAAGGTAAGTTGACATTTATGCAGCCATAAGGCACAATTCGACCCTCCCTACGAACAAGTGGCTATCTTTTTGGGCGTTGCAGACAAAAGGCAATCTTTTTGAGCTTGGCAGACAAACGGCTATCTGCTTTTCTTTGAGGTTAGGGTTGTCCACGTTTATATTGAATAACTTCCGAAGCAAGAGACATAAAATTACCGTGTACGAAATTTCCTGCTTCGACAACCGCAAAGAACAATTGGTTAAACACTCATAGTGTTACATAACCTCTACTGTGAGATATAAGAACCCAAAGTCGTGAGGTGATAAAAGCAGTTAGCGGTTTGTCTGCCACGCCCAAAAAGATACCCACTTTTACGTAGGGAGGGTCGAATTGAACAGCCAACAATAGCGCCTTTCAGTATGGGGTGCGGCTTTCTTAGTCAGGGGCAGCCTCCATTAAAATACCACAGTATTCTGCGGTAAATCGACGCTCTACAAATCCTGGAGCGAGGAAGAGCGGCATCGAGGTGAAAATTTTATCGCACCCTCTGAGGGAAAGATTTAATTTCTTTGCTATTTTTTTCTGCGGTTTTAAAATTAATCTCTCCAAATTTGGCTGAGATTTTAGGGTGAGATCATACCCTATTATCCTCTAGAAGAGTTGCTAGAGTTCGTATATAGAGGTCTAAAAAGTTTGCGCGCAACATGTCTTTTAATACGTAGAAGTGCGTGCAGCAGCCCGTAGTGGCTTTAGTCGTTAGTGTGCTAAAATTCTCAGGTGTAACGTTTAAAAGAACACAGTAATTAGTGTACAGATGGAAGGCCAGGAAAGCGGGTGAAGAACGCGAGGGTTGGGTAGGAGAGGAGGGGGGGGGGGCTGGAATATTTGAAAATTACCACAAATGAAAAATGACACTCAAAATCGGAATGGTAAAGTTATTGGCATATTCCATTTTGTATTTTTCATTTTTGATGTTGCCAGATTGAAAGTTTGTTTCAAGTTTTTCGGTTGTCATTTCTAGCTCCCAGTCCCTTGTAATTAGAAGTGGGAGTGTGAGGACTTTCGGCCACGACAAATGAATAATGTTAACAGAATCAAATTACAATGTATATAAAACAATGGTAGAACAAGCAAATATCGTATAACCCTGGGTACGGCAGACCCTTGTCACAATCAGCTGGAGGAATTCTATTAAATACATTTGCTTCCCTCTGGTTGAAGTAAAATTATTTAAAATAATAATTTTTTGAATCTCTGAATGTGTTGTAACTCCTTCCATACTAAGAATACAGTTTGTCATTCTTCGATTCACTTTAATCTGATCTTACTTATAGTGGGGCTGTTAACGGATTGAACTCTGCACTTTGTGATGAAAACGTTTTGATGTCGGATCTTTATGTTTTCGGGGGTGCTCTATCGATCTGGATGTGGTGCCACGACGAAATCGGGCTCCTTCATCCTGTTCGAGGCCAAGAAGTGCCAAATCATCTACAAACAACGACTAAACGGCGTCATATCGTGTCCGCAGTGGTCTCAATCGATTCGTCTGTTCTTTCCGGTTAATTTGATACCCGGGTCGACCACACGCGAGGCGCGCGCTCGCGTCCTGGCCGCCTAGAAGCTACTCGAAGTGCATGATCCTCTACAACGCCATGCCTTCTCGCCGCCTCATCGATCTCGTTTGGGTGCCAATCGCAACGTACACACTATCCGACTATATTCACACCCTAATCAGCCGTGCGCAGCGCGCGCACCCCCGTCCTGGCCGCCTAGAAGCCTCACCAAGTGCCCTATCCTCTACAACGCCATGCCTTGCCGCTGCCCTATCGACCCCGTTCAGGAACCAAACGATTCGTATCCACTATCCGACCAGTTGGCCCCTTCGCTCGACCATGCGCGACCCGCGTGCTCGCGTCCTGGTCGCCTAGAAGGTACCGAAGTGATCCCGTTCGGTGCTAATCGGTTCTTGTGCACTAACCAATCGTTTGGACACTATGATCGACCGTGCGTGGCGCGCCCGGTCGGGTCCTGGCCGCCTAGAATTAGGCTTTTTGAGGATTGCGAGTCATTGTTGTCTATTAATCGAAAGTTCTACAACATATCTTATCATAAAATTTAAATTCTCCCACCATTTTATTTCCGTATCATTAGAACTAATATGGCTCTAGAAAAATCCAGTCAATGTGAGAATTATATACCTCGTTCTGAATTTGGACTGACTTATCCTACAGAAAGTTGCGACTGTGGCCCTAAAATTGTTCGGTCCCTTGCAAGTATATTGCTATTAAGAAAACAGGTTGTGAGTTTAAGAAACCTTTTAAAATGTCTTTTTTTAAGATTAAAAAATTTGAAAAGTTGCAATTTACTTAAAGTTATCAAATTTAAAATGTAATCTCAGATTTAAATTCCTCTTTCAAAATTAAAAATGAAATGTCTTATGTTCAGAGCCAACCATAGTCAAAATGGCAAAGTTATTGGTCCCCGAACTGACCCGAGGTGCCAAAAACGAACAAAATACCAATTTGGTGGGGAATAACTCTGCCATTTCGATCCCGATCGTCTTAGGGCATGAAACATTTTCGTTTTATTTTGTCAAGAGGAACCCTTCTTACAATTCCACCAAGCCACACTTACGTAGTCTGTGAACAATTCCGAATATCACTTTCGTTCCTTCTAATCGGACACTCGCGAAACTTATGGGTTGCGTTCCGCAACTCTAAAACTAAAAATAACACACTCAGTTTGACAATCTGACATTTTAATCATTGCTGAGAAGGTATCAAAGTCTGCAGGTGAGCGCAGAAGCCGCTTGCGCTTCCGCTCCCCTCGAGCGCCATGCTACCAACCTACCACCACCAAACTACTAATTCAAATTAAACGATCGCTTTTTTCAAACATCTTATATCAAAATCCAAAATTAACTCGGGACGTCCCGACTTATACTGATGCTTCTTGTGGAGTTTCAAATCAATTGAAGTTACCGTCTGAAAGAACGTGGGCCAGTACAGACACACGACCAAAGAGTTCTTTGCACCCCACATCACAGCGAAGGCTTCGCAAGCTCAGCCAATGACTCGTCATAATAAACAGAGGGATTGTTCACACATATATTCCCTTCTTCTGTACCTACATACTGAGACAAGATCTTTTGCAACAAATCGTTTTTTGGAAAGTTATAAATATGTAAACTTTTTTACATCAAAGTATTGTAGAAATTTAAAGTTTATCGACTTTAAGATTAGATGTAGATTTGACATACTTGTGCCTATCTGGTATATAAGGTAGGGATGTGTTTGCAAAATTTTAGAAGAAACAATGATATAAAAAATAATGATATATTTTTCACACAATTTCGGCACTATTTCCTACCTTGAGGCCAAACTATAAAATGTTTTTGAAAGTTTCAAAGACAGATTGTGCCCTTCTGAAAAAGTGATGTTTTTGACTGAGCTGGCCCCGAGGGGGAAACGACTAAGGTAATCCGGCTGACAGCCGAAATTAATCCGGCAGGGGTAATCCGAGGAAATTCTAAAAAATCCGTGGTAATCCGGCGAAATTTGGGGGTAATCCGGGAAAATTTGGGGGGTAATCCGGGGTAATCCTAGAGAAAAAGCAACGTAATCTGGAGGACACTCCGGAGGTAATCCGGGAGATCCGTAATCCGGCTGACACAAAGTTTAACAGTCGTTTCCCCCTCGGCTGGCCCCCATTATTGCTTAAATGCTCTTTGCTTAACCAGTTCTTGCCTTGCCTACAGGCCATCGCCCCCAACTCTCCCGAGTGTCTGACCCAGTGGACCGATCAGTACGGCCTGTTTACTTTCCACGTCTACTTCGTCGCCCGCCCTTACTTCACAACCTGCTAGTCAATAAAGAACGGACGAAATTTTTGTCGTTCGGACTCTTATTAAATGAGTAACCACTAAGAATGTTAAACACATTTTTCAAAACTATAATAATCTTGCAACCTTTTGTGTTTTTAGATGATACATTGTAACAACTGAAATTAATAATACCCTACTTAACTATGTGTCATTTTTTTAAGAGGTCGACTTTTGAGCTAGAACGCTCATCTTTCATCCCTTTGCCGTTGCTCGGTCTGTCTTTTACTGATACACGACGACCTTGACATCGCTTGAGATCGCTTACTCAAATCGTTCTCGATCTCGAGTTATCGTGCGTTCAGACAGGCAACCCAATGAACGAACGAACAGAATTAAACTGTTCCGGTCTGTGGAGTAATGGGGTACGCTATCGCTCCGACTCCGACAATCAGCCAACAATTTTAGAACAAAAAATTCAGGAAACACTCATGGGGTCGAAGTGATGCACATGGCAGTTAAACAAGTTAAAATTATTTGCTCAACTCGGCGCAAAGAGTTGGGATGTCAAATATGGACATTTTGCCTATCATCTCACCACCTGCTTCAAAGGTGTCATAAACGGGGTACAATTGTTCCCTCGCCGAACATGCAAATAACGACTTTCTCCAGCTCGGTTGCGGTGATGGTGATTCGGTACGTGCCGTACACGAACACAGGGACGTTAGGGTACGTCCAGAAGACTCGTTTATGATCCACGATGTAAGTTCCCTGCAGACACATCGGAAATACAATAGTGAGCCAAAGTAAAGCAACCACTTTATTGATGGGGCATATTTTCGAACCATGATAGGGTAAAAAGTTCGACGCGTCCGTGCAACAATATCCTATCTGTTTCGCTGCCCCAAAAGACTAGCCTATCTGTTTCGCTGCCCCGAAAGACTAGCCTATTTGTTTTTTGGCGCTTTCTGCAGCGCTGTCTTCTTCTTATTGCGGGTTCGCCAATATTAACGGTAGATAAAAAGTAAAAACTGCTGCGTGTTCCCTAAAGATTAAGGAACAAGTTGCAATTTTTACTTTTTTTTCTACTGTTAATATTAGCAAAACGGCAATAAGAAGAAGACAGCGCTGCAGAAAGCGCCAAAAAACAAATAGGCTAGTCTTTCGGGGCAGCGAAAGAGATAGGATATTGTTGCACGGACGCGCCGAGTTGCCGTGACACAAAACCACACTGTAAAAAATATTCTGAAATTTCAGAGCAAAATATCTCTTAAATTTAATAACATTATCAGTTGTTCTTAAACGTAATAACAGATTATGATATTTAAGAAGTTTTCTTAATATTGCAAACAAGGTTATGAGAATTCTGATGAAATACTCAATTGTACTAAGGGGTCATTAAATTTCATAACAAGTTTATTAAATTTAAAAGTTTTCCTTAGTTTTGACAAAATTGTGTTGAAAAGTCACAACCATTCTTACTTTTAATACTAGCATTCAGAACACTTCTTAAAAGTTATGTAGCTTTTGACCACTGGACATGGAATTTTGGCGTTCAATATAGTATTGGGTGAACAACATATCGAATTTAGATAAGCGTAATGTAGCTATGCCACTGCCATATGTCAAAAAAGCATGTTAACAAACATACGCCGTCCGACCAAGCACATAGCTACTCTGGGAATGCCCCTGGACGGAGCGCCGCATAAGGTCGGGTGCGAGCGCTCCCCTCACAGGTATGTCCCGACAGCCACGCGGTCTAAGGCGTCAGGACCCGAACCCAAAGGTCCGAGGTTCGAATCCACCCAGGTAAGGTAAGGTAAACATCTTTAATATGTGGGAAGTTGGGTGTAAACATCTGCCCGTAGGGGAATGAACTAAATATTTTCCAGATTTGCGTTAGGTTGGAAAAGAAAGCATTTTTGGCGTTTCATAACACGTTCTTAATTTTCAAAACATGTTTTGAATTTTAAGAAACTTTTTGTTCTTAAATTTAAGAGCAAATTTGTTTTGTAAACTGCTTCAAAACATGTGTTATTAAAATTAAGATGGATTTTTTTTACAGTGCACCCTTGCGATCTTTCAGTCTTTTAAACACTATTCCCGGGATTCCCGATTACCTACAACGGCCAAAGGGGTCATTTTGACCCCAGCAGTGTTTTTTTCGACCTTTTCGTTTTAAATGCTAATCTTTCTTAGACTAGGTGTCAAGATTTTTGAATTTTGAATCCAATGATGTCAGCTTCGACACATCGGCGGCCCCAGTGTTGTATGGGTGGGCAACCTGCTAGTCATGTAGATTGCATTTTCACAGTTTTCTGCAATATAAACGATTAACAGTAGTTCCTGGATTTAATGTTGGGACAAAAATTATCGATGTCGCAAAGTTCATGTGAAAAAGATCCTACGCGCATATTTCGCAACTCAAACAGTGCCAAGAGAACAGATAAACACCTGAAAGTCAGGTACATTCTTCTGTGTATGGGTAGAAGGGGACGAGAAGATGTATCCAAACGACCTATTTTGTGTCCTAGACAGCAAGTTGACTTCTTTAATTAATAAAACACGTCAACACTCCCTCATATTCAGCGTTTGGACTGCAAACAACTGAAAAATCAATTTTTCTGATTTGCGGGTTGCCTTCATCCTACCTATGTCATACTAAGATCTCCTACGAACTTAAAATGTTGGGAATCGTTCAAAAAATCAAGATGTTTCTCGTTTCAGGCCTGTAGGTACCTTTTTTTAACTGTCAGAGGCCAATAAACACACAGAGGGGGCAAAATGTCCGTCGGCCGTTTTAGGTAAAAGTCTCAATCAAAAAGTTCACTACCTAAAAATCTGTATTTTTTGCATCAAAGCGTGTCTTGGCAATTCATGAAAAGTCAGAAAGCGACAGGTCGATAAAAAACCATTTTTATACTTATCTAGCGAAATGAAAATTAATAAAAAGGGTCAAAATGGCCCCTTTGGCCGTTCTAGTGTTAACGCAACGAGTGTTGTTTAAATGAATGAATCGTGCTCCAACCTAATGATGGAATGGAGTCACCCTTTTTCCAAACGAAATCTTTCTACCTCATCTCATCACACTTCAAAATTACACTCTGTCAAGGTGCTTTATTTTTGCTCACGAGAGTAGTTATGCCAGTACAGCATTCCGGTAAAGCTGAAATGCAGAAGAACGCATGGAACAAGAAAACAAAAGTCATTATGTTACCCATCGGAAAATCCAGTCGAAATCGCGTGGAATCTAAGTCAATTTCTATCTATCTACGTGATTACATGATTACTACGTCGAATTTACGTGAAATACGTAGATTCACGTTTAGTCAGCCCCACATCTACGTGAAGAATGTCACGTGGACGTCATTTCCCCAGGGAAATCACATCATAGGTATTTCCAATGTCTCCTTCCCCGCATTCTTCAGCATTTTAGCTTTACTGGAATGCTTAATCGAGAGAGATCGTCGAAAGTCGTCGGTATCATAGAAATAAGAATTAGTTTTTGGATTGAAGGTACACTTCATGCAGGACTATTTCTTACTGGCTTCACGTTGCAGGGCGTATTCCACGAGCTAGGGCCGCTCGGCAAATCGAAAAGCGCAGCAAAAAAGTTTGGTATATTATTCCTGAGGGCGGTGCACGCCCCGGGGAAATTAAAGATGAAGGCGTTTTTCTTCCACTGGTTGTTGGACCAGATGTCGACTCTAGCATGTCCCTGAAAGATGCATCAGATGGGAACAATTCTCAGCGCAAACGGACGAAGTTTGGCCCAAAGACTAAACGAGCACCTGCTCAGGAGACCATCACCAATCATTTTAAAAAGCGTTAACTCGTGGCAACTGATAAACTTTTAACGAAAACAGTTGAAATAAACAGGCTGTATGTTTCAGTGACTAAATGAGGCCTGAGCGGCGGCGCTGCTTCCAGGTCCGGCCACTAAAGCGCAGAACGTTTCGAATTCACAATGAGAAATAGTGCGCTCAAAATTGTTTTTGTGTGGGATTTTGCTATTTCATCAAGTCGTATTATTTCTTGAAAAGGGGTTTTATTTAAGCCATTTTCAGTATCAAACGTGTATGACCCACCCGATAGGCGCACCTGACCGCTTTCTTTCTCATTGTGGAGCGTGTTGCGCCCTAGCGGCCAGAGCTGGGAGCAGCGCCGCCACTCAGGTCTCATTCTATCTGTCTTTTAATCGTACACATCGACCCTGCAATTTGGAGATCCCTAACTCACCCACGAAGAAAGCCAGCGCTTTTTCAGCGCCATATTTGCGCATTAGTGAGTAAAAAAGAATCAAAAAGCGCGATGTAAGCCCTGTAGTGGCACTGATCGAACCCTCTAATCAACTCGATGATAGAAACACACATATATCGTTAGAAAAAGGAACCTTTGGAGGCGTAAATCTCCGATTTCGTTAGAACTCGGAAAATTTATTTAAAGGTCATTATAATATAAGTCGGATTCCTCTTGAAATTTTCTCTGAACTTTAGAGTTACGAGCGGTTTATTTAAGCCTTACACTGTTTTTTGTCCCAAATACCCCTCTACCGCCTTAACAGTACAAAATAGAGCAAAATGGACAAAATTTTGGTCCCAAGGCCGCTACTTCGACGAGTTACCCACTTGCTTTATATTACACTGATGATTTGACAAGGGGGTTTCAGTCCACCCCAGGGTAATTTTTACATTTTTGGGGCAAAATAATGTGTACGTGGTAACAAGTATGCCAGCCAAACGGCATGTTGATGTCTTAGACCGTTTGGCCAGTGTGAAAAGCCACAAAGGGACATAATAAGTCCATCAGAGTTTTGACAAAGGAACAGAAGTCCTTGGATGAGCTGGCCAAGTAACGTAAAAGCACCAGTGGGATTTGACAAAGGAACATAAGTCCAGACATAATCTGACAGAGGGACCTAAGTCTATCAACAAGATTTGACAAAGGAACATAAGTCCAGGTGTAGCTTCACACAAGAACATAAGTCCACCAACAAGATTTGACAAAGGAGCATAAGTCCAGGTGTCGCTTCAAGAAAGCATCCAGCTGAAATGCAGAAGAATGCTGGGAAGAAGAAAACGGAAGTCACCATGTTAAAGCATAGCTATTTTCGTTTTCTTCTTCCCCGCATTCTTCTGCATTTCTGCTTTACCGGAATGCTTTATAGGGAACATAAGTCCGCCAGCAAAATTTGACAGAGGCACATGAGCTTAGGTGTAGCTTCAGAAAAGGACTTCCTTAATACTTTAAAAACTACATTTGTCAAGATACTTATAGTGAGTGTAGGGAGACTTTATTAGACATTCGATGAATGATGAATCACAACTGCTCAGTAAGGCAAACGCATTTGGGTGGCCCCTACAGGGAATGGCTAGTGTTGTGGAGCACTCACAGTATGTTTCGCCGGGTCCAGAATGTAGTGTAGGTTAAGTAAGTAGTCCACTCGCAGACACTTGCACATGGGAAGCATATCCCCTTGACACACGTTCTGAAGTTCATTTCGTTGTGTTCGACAAACACCGACGAGGGGTAACCGGTTCAAATATTCCCGTATCATGACAACACATTAAACAACATCTACGTTATTTAACCCCATTTTCGTGTTGTTTGTCGAAGTTCGAGCGTCGTCTAATGCAGCCGACTCAACTTGCAATCGTTAATTTAGGCAAGACATAATTTTGTGTGGTACTAGATGGCACAGCACAGCAGAAGCAGCAGACGAGTTTAGTTATCCTCACTCTTTTTTTTTTTGTGAATTTGGTGACGTATTCCGATAGTAGTAATTCGCATTACACACACTGTAATTTCTAAAGTAGATTTCCTATAAATGTATCTGCATCAATTCACATATACATGTATAGGAATTTTCCCATACAGGCGTATGGTAATTCTACCGTACGCAATAGTATTCTTACCGTACAAGTATAGGAATTGTCCTATACACCTGTGTAGGATATGTACTATGTGTGTGTGGCATTATTCCTACACATGTATAGGAGTCTTCCAATACACTCATTGCTTTTTCAAAAAAGAAAAAGTTTTCCTAACCACTTCCTTGCCGTTGCCCTCGTTCCTTGTCACCTTGTCGGCTTCCTACCGAATTTCGGTAATTGCATTTAAGTAAGCATTGATGTTATTGTTTAATACTTTACCGGATGGAGAGATGAACCGCGGACTTCTGGCTTGTGATCCCGTCACGCTGACCACTAGACCACGGGGACTTATTGGGAGCATGCCCACCCAACCCCGGGTCATCCCAGAGCCGCGCGCCGCCCCTCGCTGGGACATTCCCAGAGAGTCAGCCAGGTGTCGGCGCGGTGCCGGGGCTAGCCCACGCCTTTGGGGATTTACTCCTAGATGTTTTGATGTCGAGTTTTGAATTTTACTTCCTGCCCTTACTTGAAATACGATTGTCAGAGTTTAAACTGCTAAATAGACCAATATAGACTCTAAATGTGTCCAACCCTGTGTGGTGTGGCGTCAGGCGGCAGATATAAGCTCATAAAATGACCGCGCAGACCAAGATGTGTAAGGTAGAAAGATGTGTATATCTTAACCCGTTTTTTAAATTCCGAACATTGTATAGGAAAGTTGTCATCAAGTAAATTTCCTATACATATTAAGGAAAATATGCCTACCAGACACGTATCGGAATTTTCCCATACATTTCTGGAGATTTACCCATACACTTCGTACTCTCCCCATACGCATCTTCCCAAATGGGAAAATTCCTATACATTTATAGGAATTTTCACTTCCGATACGATGTATAGGAAATTTCCTATACATGCGTATAGTAGAATTCCCAACATTTTTTACAGTGAAAATGAGAAGTGTTGACATGGTTCGTGAGTATTTGAATCGGTTACCTGTTGTCGGTGTTTGTCGAACACAACGAGATGAACTTCACAACGTGTGTCAAGTAAATATGCTTTTTCTGAGGAAGTATCTTCGAGTGGACGGCATAACGTCGACAACGTGCTGGACCCAGCACAATGCAATGTGAGTGCTCCACAACACCAGCCATTCCCTGTATTGGCCCCTAGACATATTTTCCACTGTCAAATCTTGTTGGTGGGCTTATGTCCCTCTTTGAAGCTACACCTGGACTATGTTCACTTGTTAAATCTTCGTGGTGGACTTAGCTTCCTCTGTCAGATTATGTCTGGACGTATCGATGCGCTCAAACGAAAGAGTCCAATCTGCTTTGCTGCTAAACTAAAAGAGTGCGATCTATACCGCTGCCGTTTAAACTAAGTCCGATCTGCTTTGATGCCAAACCAAAACAGTTCGATCTGCTTTTTGCGCTCCGCAGAAACTCAATGATATCGCGAAGCTTGAGAAGAGAAAGGTATATATTTTAGGGCGTACACATTCGTAAAAGGACAGGAAAACAGGCAAGTCTTTTTTTATTTTCTGTATATTCTTGCCAAGGAGTTGTAGCGCTCCAAAGATGCCGGACCGTCCATCGCCAAAAAACAGATCGAACTCCTTTGGTTTTGAAGCAAAGCAGATCGGACTTTGTGGAAACGGCAGCAGTACAAATCGAACTCTTTTAGTTTAGCAGCAAAGTAGATCAGACTCTTTCGTTAGGGTGCATTATTGTTATGTTCCTCTGGCAAATACCACTGGTGGACTTACATTCCTTTTGTCAGCTCATCCATGGACTCATGTTCCTCTGTCAGATCCACAGGGGGGTATGAAAAGACATCAGTCAATAGACCATTCCACCGAATAGGGAAGAAGAAAGAAAAGAATCAAAAAGCACCGGAAACAGTATTGATAAACGGATCAAATCGTTCACTATTTCTAGTTTTCTTGACGAAGATCATTATTCTGGACTTGTTGGTGTGCCACAGAGGTGTACACAAATGTTTTACATACTGGTTTTCGGTACTGTTTCCGGTACTTTTTGATTCATTCCTTTCTTCTTCCCCATTGGATGGAATGGTCTATTGAGATTAGTCATTGAGATAGAGCTGCACACGTTTCGCAAAGAATAATTCATCCTGAAACAAAACATTCTGTGAAGGAAAAAGTAATCTAGCTTTAAAATTGTAACAGCCAGCCTGGAATTAGACATACTTTTAGCCCTCCTGAAAAAATAGCTCAAGTGGACTTAAACGCCTTTGTCAAATCGTCAGTGATTTTCCAAAATATATCTTTTTCAAAACCCTTACTCGTACCCGATATAGGGAAAAACTCATTGTGAGGCTCAGGAAAAAATTAAAGTGACATCCTATGTCTACATAAAAAGCCTACAAATTTTCAAAGTTTCAACGAAATCGGAGATTTAAACCTGAAAAGGTTCCCTTGTAAGATGCTTACCGCTTCTTACACTAACCATTCAATCTAAAACTGAAGTACTCTTACTTACGGGGCGGGTGTCATTCAGGCCCTCAGGCATCGTCACGTTTCCGGTAAGTATTTGGCCGTCGTTAGGCTTTGCAGGGTTAAAGTGGGTTGGCCTGAGGTACACTTGACTGGGCCAAGGCTTATCCGGCGGACTGTCACACACGCCGAACTTCGTACCGTACACAGTGAATGGGCCCTAAGAAACGAACAAAGGGGTGGTAGTTAAACCTGAACAAGTAGTTTCCTTAACTAGTGTACTCAAACCCTTACCGCGAAAGAGTTGATTCGTTTGCTGCCAACAGAAGTGAAAGTCAAATATAGTAGCATGTATCGCATCTGTAAACACAGGAATCAGTGATGGTTGAGGTCAAAGCAGGTCCTTGTGCTACACTGCACACGGTTCTAGCTAGGGGAGAGTGGGTACATTGGTCGGTTTTTTAGGCCCCTCCAAGGGGGCCTTTCTGCTCGCGTGCGAGTGCTTCTTTTTCTCCCTCCCTCATTCATTAAGGTACCGCGACTTCTGTTGTACAGATTCTAATAAAATTTTATCGAAAAATCAATCCAAAAATTAGATTTCATTTGACTATATCCTCATTACAATCCTTCTGGCCAATTTTGAGAAAATTAAAGTTAAACATCGAAATTATCACGAAAATCGGCAAAATCCTGCCAAACCAACAATGGTTCGCACTTCTAGCATTCTTTCTGTTGATTCCCTTACATTTTCAGTTAACAGTAAAACGTATGAGACAAAAATTCAAGACCGAAAATTAAGCTTCAGAACGATATGTTCAAAATTTTCGTGCGCTGTTCGAGTCAAGAACGACAGCAAGCTGAATAATATGCGACATTTACGCTTATTCTTCGTGTCTTGTTTTTAATTTCTAATGCAGTTAGTGTTAATTAAAACATGGTAATGTAAGCGAGCCGATTGTGCACCGTTCCTTAAACTACCGAATAAGCTTTTAATCAATGCCATAAAATACTCCAATCACAACTTCTACCGATTTAAAATCAAAGCTGCACAGTTTGTTTAGAAATGGGCGTGGCTACGACAATCCTGGGTAGAAAGGAGGCGTGGCTTCTAACAATGGTACCAACATTTGCAAACGAACTCGCTTCATGTTTTTGGATAAATTGAGTGATGTACTCTCCTCACTTTTATGTTCAACCCACGTCTAATAACTCCTTCTTTAGCGATTTCGCGTGCACTTCAGAGGTGGTTAAATGACATGTGTTTGAATAATTGTAACTATGAGTAAAAGTTGCCATTGCCGGGGAATGCCCAGTAAGTAGTTTCTATAAGGCGCTTGCATCGCTGTTGGTTTTGTTATTGTGGTGACTTCAGAACGAAGAGCCACAACACTAACCATCAAGTTTTGACAACTTCCCTCTCTTCTAATTTTCAACGCTGAATCTATTGAAGTGATTAATTAAATGATTATTTCTTCGTATGCATACGATTGTTCGTTAAAACTTCAGGGGCCGATTAACGCGTTAGCGTTAGAATTTTTTCTTCTGTTTGCTACCAATATGAGAAGCTAGAAATTATTTTCTTTCGCGTTTTAGTTGGGTCCTTACTTTACCTCAGAAAACTGGTCACAACACTTTTCTGTAGGTACAGACTTTCTTGTATCGAAAGTAGTTGATGCGTTTTATATGCGCGCGATATCCTTCTGCGCGATGTTTCATAATGAGGTATTTTACGAATAAGAAGAACAGGAGGAATCCCGGCCGACGTCTGCTCCCGGACCATAACAAAG